AACAACTTTATTTTGCTCTGAAGCCCTTAAACTATAATTATATAAGTCTTGGAAATCTTGACTTACAAATCAGTATCAAGAACTTTATGCCAAGCAACAAAGCTACGATGTATTATGACTTATAGTCTCAGGTGATTAGCGACGATTCGGAGAAACGCGTCGCCTCAATCTTTAGGGTAGAAGAAGTTCTACCAAAATGTACCCACAATCGACATATTCACCCCAGTGAAAACCTAAGATCTTCATATACCACCAATTTTACTGTTCCTGTGCTGATTTCTAGTTGAACATTGACGTCATCTTGCATTTCTTCCGGGACTAAGTCGGAGTATGAATTTATACGATGAAAACTTTAATAATTGGAAAATTGTATCAGAGGTTCTTTCAGTAATGATCTTAAATACAAAGCGGAGCATGCAAGGGCTTGCGAGATATGAAGTATGAAGCACGGAAATGGTTCTGTTCTACCGCGAGATAAAAACCAGGACCTCTGAAACAAAAGACAGAAAACCGCAGACGAGTGATGAATTAGAACAATACCTTGATTCTAGTGTAATGGAGCAGATAAAAAAGTGTCATGGTGTTGAATATAGAATTGATGATATAACAGTATCCGAAAAGAGATGACTTTATTCACAGTGACCTACACCAAGAAACCAGTCTTCAATCAGGAAAATAAGTAGTTAGTTACAAGACAGAATTTTTAGTAGACACAGAGTTTCAAAATTGTTAACAGCTGTGCCTTCACGACAAAAATAATCCCGGAGAATAATTTTCTTTTATCCATTACCTTTCTCTTCGTTACAACCCCACACATAATTGTTATTCTTCAATCAACGCGCTTCGTTCCAACTTTTCAGCAACACAAATCCTTATTTCTTTTTAATTTGCAATCATCACGTTTTTAATTTCAAGATTTAACATGCAAAAGAAACGTTACTGTGCAAATGAGACTCATTTAACTTTTTCCTTCACTTTCAACAGCCAATAAAAAAGAGGAAACTCTCATCGAAATAATAAGAAAACTAAAATACATTCATTTTTAGAATTCCGATCATTACTAAAATACGAGAAGACTGAAAAATGCTGGAACGAGTTCAGTTTTTTCTTCTAGCTTGAAGCGTCGGCCTTCAGTTCGTCCGGTTGCTATTAGATGGCGAGTGCGGCGCTGCTGCTGGCAACAGCCACAGGCAATATATACGACTCCCGCCTTCAGCCCAAACAGGTCTCTTCAGTTCGTGAAAACATGACGTTACGTTTCTCCAAAGAGCGATACCATCAGTAATATTTCGAAAGTCATGCAGCAATTGAAAACATATACTGAAACTCCCATATTCATAACGCACTGGAAGGCTATTGTTTCTTTAGTTAGACAAAAATACCGGGAATTTTTTACCAGCTGATCGATTACCAAGTTTTCAAGTTGGGCTCTGCTCTTTAGAGGGAGACAATCAAGTTTGTAGTTGTCAATCAAAATTGTAACGTGTACAAATCTCTTTACGAAGACAAGCTATTCTGACTAATGTTTTGGTAGATTTCCTCAGTCCGCACAGACTCTAAATTAGTCGATGGCTATTTTTTCCTTAACATTTACAATTCACCGTTCTTTAATCATCACATCATAATTACTGTGACGTTATATAAACCACAAGTAAATAAATTTTTACTGATGTTTCAGAGGTGCTTCCTGCATCATCAGGGTGATCGTCCTGATGATGGAGGCAGCAAGGACCTCTAAAATGCCGGTAAACATCTACCAGACTACAGGAATAATCCTTTTGCTCTGTCAGCTACGGAAGGAAATTATTCACAGTTTGCACTGCGCCTTCATTAAAAGAAATGTTGACTACTTAGTTTTGCTTTCTTTGATCTCCGCACTGCTTTCGTATCACAATCACATCTGTCTGTGCATTGCTTTTGCACGTAATACCGTAACAGAGCACGAATGTATTTGAACCTAGCGTGTATGATCTCCAGTCAGGTACAAAGATGAAACTTACAGATACCTAGCACGGACAGCAATGCCCTTTCGACATAGATATAACATACATGGGAAATAAATACTACTACATTAAAACAAGTAACATCCCAGGTAACACGTGCAGGAATTGCGATGTTTTTATGCTGTAGAATAACTTATGAGCAAACTTGCAGCTTTTTAATCTCGATAATGACACAACGCAGTTTCGAAGGTCTCGCCGAGACTGTTCACAGACCACTGTGTAAATCGTCGTCTAACATCATCTCGATTTACAGGACAGGTTTCTTTACAGCTAGGTATTCTGTCCAACAAATTAAGCGAGTAACCTAATCTAATTACTTATGGTGCCCTTAGTAAATTATCTTAAAGGTCCTCGATTCTAAAAGTAAGTTCACAGGGCGATAATTTCTGTCTGTTTCCTCAAAACGTCTTTTAAATCAAACGGCAGTTTTGAGATAAGAGACCTACTGACGCCTACTTTCACTGTTCACTTTTACGGATAGAAGCAACCGAACTGACATTCAAATAATCAGATGCTACATTATGAAAAATATGCAACTTTGTTTTTCACACCTTTCTCTCTTTTCGGCCAAAATATTTTTCTCGGCATTTTATATTCGCAGTGCTTTCGGCAAAAATGACACAAGGATAAATTAAAAAAAATAAACATGTTCTGGTTAAAAATAACAGGAGTGCACTCTTGTTTATTTCTAAAACCTACTTTTAAAATAGTATGAAACAACAATTTCATTCGTTCTATTTTCTATTATAAGATAAGAATTAAAAATATGTAAAAATTATTAAGATAAACTAATTACAGAGAATAAAATTAGTAGGGCACATGACATAAATGGAAGAGATGTAAAATGCGTACACAATTTTAGTGGGAAAACCTGGAACAAACAACCACTTAGGATAAATATGTGAGGATAATATTAAAGTAAAATTTAATTAAAATGTGTAAGAATTGAATTATTTTATCATACGTCTTGTGAACAAGGTAATAAACCGTGATGAGTAACTTCTTGACTAGGTGAGCAATTATAAGCTTCTCAAGAATAAGTCCGCTCCATGGAACTAAGAACAATTAATTACTGTCTGGTTTTCTTTCTAACTAATCCGTAGGCTTATAGTGAATTAGAGTAAAAAAGTGATGAGAGTTTTAGTCTTGGTCTCTTTTAAGGGTATCCTGAAAGAATTAACAATTAGTCAGAAGATGGTGGTCCTTCAAAGACACGAACCGGAAACCTCAAGGGTATCCTGAAAGAATTAACAAAAACGAGTAACTTTAGTCAGAAGATGGTAGTCCTTCAAAGACACGAACCGGAAACCTCTCGTACAGAAATGAGACCCGTTCCTGTAGAGCCACAGGAATCAAGTTCTTTTGAAAATCTCACAAACCATGTCGATGTAAAGATCACAGACTTCTAATCACAATAAAATAGTTACAACATCCTATGTTCCAAACTAAATTGTCACCATGTTTCTTATCATCATCAAGAATGTGACAGGCTTTGTGGCTGGGCTACCCACAAGAAGCCCTTGGCGCGAATTTCTGCCTTGTTCAGAACACCCCAAAGAGACTCTTGCCACAATTATTACTTCTGTTCCAGATGGTTCCTACCACTTTTATTTGTGCCTTAATTTTCTCTACACCCTTTTATTTTGAAACTCTACAGTTTATCAGCCCTTGTTAAAAACGTCACCAATTAAGACTCAAGGTCGATACAAAAATTAAGGACTTGAAGACCTCGGATCACATGAAATCTGAGACGCTGAGCTAAAGAAATGTACAAACAAAACCCCATGTGCCGTTTATCATAGAGGGTTGTGTTGTGGTTTTTTATCCAGGAAAAGGGAGCATGTGTCCATGCCTTACCCGCCTATTAAGCTTGTTCTTCAGTTCTATACAAAAGTGTTCTTCCGTCCGCCTGATTCGTTTAAACCTTAGAAAACACTTCATCAGGACAATAATATATGCACTCAACAAAAGACTATTGGAGAAAAGATGCCCTTTAATTAGGGTGATTAAATTTAACTATCGGTGCGATAGTTCGTTCAGTAAAGTGACCAAAATACAGAAAATAATTTCCTGGAAAGTTTATAGTCTTCTTCGCAGCCATTTGTACCAGTTCTGAAATCAATTCACAAGAGCCTGAGTCGAGACAGGCGCTGTCTGTCTCCGGAGACAACGCTGCAGGAACACCACTTTTATCTTGTGTCGAGGTCCGGAATCCGTGGAGTTTCACCTCTAAGTTTCTCATACGACTGCAAAGTTTGGCGACAAACACAGTAGCAAACTTAACTTTACGCGATTTCAGGTTCTCATGGTTCAAACACAGTAGCAAACTCAACTTTACGCGATTTCAGGTTCTCATGGCGATGAATCTAAAGATACCTGTATTCTATAATGTTCCACCGTTACTGACTGAGTCATCGCCCTGATGATGGTGGCAGTAAGCCCCTCTCAAACGCCGGTCAATATCTATCGTAGTAAACGGCGCGACGTCCTAGATCTTTAACGTTATCTTTATCTGACCATAATGTACCCGATGTTCATTAACTTTAGAATCCTGAAACTCTGTACAGTTACACAGTACCTGACTTTATTTTGAGATGCTAACTAAATCAACTTCATAGATCAGTTACCACCTTAAGAAATTGATAGTCGTTCATTCAATATATTTCTCGTCTCTTACGGAAGCCGTAGATTCATCACCGCGTTCACGACAACTGGCCATTTAGAAACAGCCGCGGTAAATTAAATTTTTTCATGAACCAAATTTTGCCCACCCCTACTACAAACAAATTAGAAATATCTTCCAAATCCTTCCCGATTTTATAATTCATAATCAAACATGTCCATCGACACTACATGGGAATGAACCCTGCGACTGACACAGTTTCGTCAGATAACTTAAGAGAGGTTATCACATTACACACACTGGCGGTATTCAGGTCTATGTGGTGGAAGTTTTATAAAATTCTTGCAAACACGGTTCTTCTTTCCTTGTTACAGATGAAGACATCTATCGAAATTGAATGTGACAGATGTTGTTTGAGGAAATGCTTGCATTTCGCTGAAATGCCCCCCTGTGCCCGGCGACGCTGGAATGTGATATGAGAAGAAGAAAAAGAGAGAGAGAATATGAAAAACAACCTGCTTATTCTCTCCGCCAAGCATCTACGTATGTTATATGCTGTGATGGACAAGAATCATAAAACAACGCGAGACATCAAGATGTACATAGAAATTCAGATTTATAAAAATGTACGTGCAACAGTGCAATCAGGACAGGAGTTAGCCAACGTCTACCCGCATCTGAACTTCTCGTAGTAAAGAATAAGAACAAAGGAGAGTATTACATAACTTTGGTACAATTTGCATTTTTCGCCCAGTATTAAATTAAGATTCTTTCACGTTATCCTTGAAAGAAACTCAGTATTGTGTTATATCATCCAAAAGGACACTCCAAGAGCTTCTAAACAACATCACTGAAAGAGAAAATGCAATAATTTCGAAACTACAGCAATTTTTAATCAAGCCCAGTGAAAAAGAATGTGTAATTTTATCGAATTTGACTCATTTATTTCTAAAAGCAATTTCAGAATCCAGTAACACCAAGACACCGTCCGTCCTCAGGAGCGTATGCAAGTGATGGCTACCAGATATGAAGGTTAG